TGGTTATGAATTTGTTAATATCCATTTACTAAGCAATTTAGGTTAGTACAAAAATTTACTATTTTGGATAGAAAAAATTAATAGTTGGTAAAGTTTATCAATACCACGGTACTGACAAGAAAATTTATGACATACCTTTTTGAAAACTTAGTTCTAAAATGACACAAACTCTTTGCACTATGTCGTCAACTCCATATTTGTAAATATTACTCAGGTGACGTACTTTCAACATGGGTCACTAGATGTTTCATAAATGTCAAGGTATATGATATCAAGTAATAGAAATTCAATATCAAAAGTTTATTAAATCTTAAAGACAAAAGTTATTGAACTGGAATTCAATGTTAACTTAATACATTAACCAAAAATGTGTCAGTTTCTATCAGTTTAATCATATACATTAGAATTTATGAGGTAATTAGTTTAAATCATTTATTGCGACAAAAAAAATAAACAATTTATAGGTAAATTCTAGAAATGGACATGACACGGTACTGACATTTAGGTGATATATTGTAAGTTTTCTCTAAGTTGCAAGTTATATTAAATAAAATATATGATAAAATAGGTTCATGATTATTTAATTAACACAAAAATTAATTAATAGATTATTAATTAATTACCAGTAAGGAACAAACAATACAGGACATAAAAAATCACAGTTAGAATGGAATCACCCAAATAAAGCTAATGCCAATTTTAAAATCTGATAAAAAACTTCAACACTAACATTAATATTATTGACTAAAATACCCTCCCAATTAATTGGAGCAAAATAATTATTTAAAGCTACATAATCCGCTTCTTTAAAGTCATAAAAAACAATGACACAAGACAAGGGACTAATATCACTGACAGTTAATTCACATGAAATTGCAACATGGTGGAAGTTATTAGGCAATAAGGTGTCTACAGCTGTCTCGATAGTAACCGAATTCCTACCGTCAAAAACATAAGTCGAGGAATATACTGTGCTGATTTGGAATTCCATTGGCCAGACTCAAATTCAAGTAGGAAAAACTCTAATTATTACGGCTGGATATTCTGCAGGACAAGAGACAGAGAGACCATCATCATACGAATAATTCCATGTAGCATGTGGAAGATTATAGTCCACAAAAAGGTATAGCTTCTTGTTAGGGTTGTTTTCCACTATATGCTCAACAGCAGAACAATGATCAATATAAACATCATGATTTAACCCTGGTGGAATGTAGACAGCGCCAAAGATAATAGTTTCATTATTGATCGACAATGAAACAAATAAATGTTCAACATTAATAAACTGAGTAATAGGATGTGATGTTTTATATTTACTTTTAACTAAAATCAAGACACCACCACCTCTGGTTCTTGAGCTAGTATGTATGTTCCTGTCTGCTCTGAAGACCCTGTAACCGCTAAAGCAGAGTTCGTTATCCTTGAAATTATCAGTCAGCCACGACTCCACCAAAACAATAACATCATATTAACATTGTGCAATTGCGGTACGTAATTCAACAAGCCTAGTAGGAATACCACCAACATTCTGGTAATACACCGATAATTAAGAGCATTTTAGTTTTTTGATGGAGAGTTTTTTGCAATAATTATCACACCCCGCACATATTTAATTGATACGTCAAGTTCACCATTATCTTTTCTTTCCTTAAGTTCAGACATAACCTCTTTTAACTGATAACTAACTCAGAAAGCAATTATAAGCAAAAAAGTAAAAAAAAAAATGATTTTTTTGCGTATTACATTCTTTTTTTTATATTTTTTACATAAAAAATTTAAATAAATAATTTGATGTGAAATAATCGTATTATTATAATTATATTAACTGCTTGAATTTTGCCTCGCTCAGAAAGCAATTATACACAAAAAAAATGGATCTTCTGCTATTTAATTATTTTTTTCTTATAATTGTATTTACAAAAAAATTCGTATTAACTATACCTGCATTTTGCTTCGTTTCCGAAATATAAAAAAAGTAAGGGTTGAATTTTCACCCCTATCTCCAATTTCCACCCGCTAATTCAATAGCGTATTTATTTACCATTTGAATGATTTTTGTCATAAAAGTGATCATTCCTATTTATATTACATATTCAGTAGAGTCTATAAGGGATTTTCAAATTGCATTTTTTTTATTTCAACATTTCTTACATTAAAGCTGGTGAAAATGACAAAACCATTTTCATATTTATTTAAGAATTAAATTTGACATGGTTACGCTACTGATTTGAAGTCAAACATCAAATTTATAATATGACGCTGGTTATGACGACACGTTCGCGCATACGACTGCATCTTCAGGTGTGTTCTTCTCTCGTGAAACGGATTCTATCTGAATCAGAATTGTCTGAACTTTCAGAATTGTCTGAACTTTCAGAATTGATATAAAGGTTGCTCTCTAAACGACATATAAAACACAGTAAAAGTAGTTTCCACTCTATTTATTCGAATTCCGTCGTCAACCAAGGACTGGACCGGGTAGACTCTTCAACGTTCACTTGAATGTCTTTCTTAACTCGAATAGCGTTCTTCACATTAGGCTACTTAATTCACCCAACTGCAAAACTTCTTAAACACGTTTTAAAGTTCAAAATGGTAAAAAAATCGTAGAAACGAACCAGGAATTATGTGCATTAAACCCGTTTGACCATCCTACTGACTGCGCCACTTAACTAAGTACACTCTGTAGTTTTTTAAAAAGATTTTGTGACGAAGTCACTAAATTTTATTTTTAATTCATCTTAAAAATGTATATTTCAATTAATTCCCGCCTGTTTCTGTTTCCCAAAAATGGCCGATTTTCAACAATTGCGAGTACCCTCGTAGGTTAAAATATTATTTTATTTGCCGAAATCCGAATGGGCATTTTTAGAGTCGATTTCGTATGAATTATCTACTTTTAATTGTCAAGGTACAAGAAGGACATTTTTTGTATTTCTGAATTGTAAACAGTCGGCTGTAGTAGTGGTATCCCCACTTTGTCGTACTAGTCTTCCATCTTTCTTGACCGAAAAAGCATAAATTCATGGAAAGCTAAAAATGCCGCCTCTTGACTCCCGACACCAGAAAAGTACTGATCTTTCTAAAAAGTATAGTGACGACGCCGTATAGTGCCGTGACCGTAAATAAGTAGTTGGTTAACCCGTTGGATTTGTTAAGGGTACGAGGTGTAAAAGAAATAAGTGTTTTATCTTTATTTATTCTAGTATAGTGGCTACCTAGCAGTGACCGCCTGGAATTATTTTTACCTCCACTGAGTTCACCTTGAGTACACTCTGGTGTACCACAGGGTCGCAGAGCAAACTGCGATATCAAAACTGGCGCCTGAGCAACCCCTATTTGGGAATCACCTTCATGGCGCCACACAGACTCGCTGATTCACTGTAGGTGAACCAGGAGCCTGTCACAATTTATTTAATTTAAATTACATCTTTACTTATCAAGAACAGATTATAAACTGAACATAATGAAAGAAAATACAATACAACCGGTGGCATTACACCTAAGGTGGAATGACACAAACTAATCTAATGTAATACTCAGCAGTTGCAAGGTTCATCCACGAGGTTGCCGACTCAGGGTTATTAACTCTATAACTTGTATATGTCTGTATATTCGTTATAAATTTTAAACAAACTTCCAATTAGCTAGAGACTATTTTATTTTTTATATTTTAAATATAGCTCAGAACTGAATGGTAATTGATAATGCAGTTTTAAGGTATCTAAATTATTAAGTATTTTGCCCAGAACTTCTCCTAAGAACTAAATTTGTTCAATGCTGAACCAGTTCATGTTATCGGAATTACCTGAAATTTCGTAAACTCAATCACAATGCAAAATTATGGCTTCCAAAAGTTAAGACGTTTGTGACATGTATTCATATGATACTTGCTTCCTATTTTTCATTGGGGATTCACCCCTTCAAATTTGTGTAGTTTTTGGACATATATTTTTTAATATACCAACTTTTTCATTTGCATTAAAAGGATAAAATAATATTTTATCTGTTGTATTTATTATCTATGTACTCTAATCTTGGTGTTAGGCCTTTAAGAAAATTACATAATTGTATTTAAATACTTTTAAGTATTTAAATATCTTTTGCTTTAAAAAATTATTTAATATTTAAATATTCGTATTTATGAAAAAGTATTTAGTATTTAAATACTTTTAAAAAGTATTTTGCCCAGCTCTGGTACCTTACCTATTTTAAATAATTCTATATTGAAGTTAAGATAGATAGATATCAAATAAATGAAATAAAAAAAAACATAAGAAAAAAGAATAAAATAGTATAAAAAAAATATTTAAAAAAAGAATAAAAAGAAAGATGAAAAAGTAATATTTAAATTAAAGATAAGTGTGAACGGAATAGGAAGGAGAACTAGCAGGAAGGATAACTAGCAGGAAGGAGAACTAGCAGGAAAGAGAACTAGCAGGAAAGAGAACTAGCAGGAAAGAGAACTAGCAGGAAGGAGAATTCGTCAGAAGGAGTAAGAGAAGAAAGTAGAAGAAAACATCAAGTGGAGACCAGGCAGGAGAATAGGAGTTAGAGTAGAAAGCAGAAGAACAGAGAGCAAGAAGAAAGAAACGAAGCAGAAGATTTAGATTTTTTTCAAATTCAATATTTATCGATTAGTATTTTTTATTTTTTGTTTTGAAATTTTTGTGGGAAGCCAAAGGGGTCGTAACCCTAAAACCTCTAGGATATTGGAATGGTTTAACCTTTTCAAGGTGATATCATTACTCGTCAGCTGAAGGAATAAAAAGTACTGAATATGCTAAAATATAAAGTACTTGATAATTGTTTGAGTATGAATACCATCAGGATGAAAGTACCAATTACTGAGTACTTTGAGTACTCGAGTACAATTTTGAATACAATTTACTCGAGTACTACCCAGCTCTGAGAAATGGAAAAGTAGAACTAAAAAACTAGGACGAAGAAATCTAACATTAAATATTTGCACAATATTATTTAATTTAAAAGTAACTTACCAAACTATCAATAGATTTCTCTTCCTTAACAACTTCAGTCTTTGATTCACTAACAGTGGCATCGCCAGTCGAAGCCTCAGCTGAAGTGCTACTGGCTTGATCGCCAATCTTGGGTTTAGCCTTCTCTTCCAGCAGCGACGGAATCGGAGCAGTAGCTCTAAGAGCTACCAATACCCTCTCCAAAAACTGCTGAGTTGCTGACTCGTATAGGTCGAATGCTATTTGGTAGGCCATCAGTTCTGTATCTTCTTTACCAGACACGAGTTTATCTAAGATTTCAGCCACTGGGAGAGGGTCGTCTAAGAAAATTAGACACTGGCACATATTGACGTAATCGGGAGTAGTTAGACCCCGATACAGACCGACTAGAGACCTCAGGACGGTGTTTCGGAATGCGCGGTTTTGGATCAAACTCATAGCGACCTATAAGAACAGGAAATATTATTAAAATATTGAAGAGCTGGGAAACAACAATATAAAATTTACCTGAAAAGCATAGGTCAGCATACCAATAATGTCATCAGCTTGTGTAATGGACAATTCAAAAATGTCCATTCTTCTAGTTTCCAAAGCGAGTCCCATGGCCTGTCGGTTTTGTCCATCATCTAAACAACGTTGAAACATACGATTCACAATGGCCTCAAGTCTGGCATCAATGGGCTTTGCATCTCGTACGCCTTCAGCCAAAGCAATGCGATGTTGTGTGTAATAATCAATACATTTGGCTGAAACAATAAAAATAATAAAACTTATTGGTCTGAACCCTCCAGCAGATACAAGAACAATTTTTTGGAAATTGTGTCAACAGATACATGAATGGATTTTTTTATAAACCCTAAATTATCTTAGTTAAAAGAGTCTGGGCGACCAAAAGTTTCGTTTCAAATCCATTCATAAAGTTATAGTGTTTGAACTACATCTAAAACTTACCAAGTGTCGTTTCCACATACTCTGTTCGGGCGTTTACATCAAAAAGATCGCCAGCACCCAAAGCGTATGTTAAGGAATCTTCAAATGCTCCCAAATGGTAGTAAACTTTACTTGCTACCAATGCAGCCAGTTGGTGCTGTTGAAATACTTTGTCTTCATGAAGAATTTCACTAAAATTTAATTGTATTTATTTATTTATTCATTCATAAAAATTAATTAAATAAAGGCATCAATTGACAGAAGCTGCTATGACACACGATCATAAATATTTCAATGATTGTACTAGTACAACATTAATATATCAAAATATTCTAAGTTACAAGAGTGTATGATGTCCAAAAACGAATGGCACTAAATTAAGCAATTAATTTTAAAATTTAAAAATGGGTCTTTGTACAGAATCCAGTACCTACTCCAAAAACTAACTCAGAATTATGTTGGATTTTCATGGCCATATTGGTCATTTTCTGCTTTAATTGTTTAATTTTGTATATATGTTTAGTTACTACAAACTACAGTGTGTCCCAGCAAAGGTTAAATGAGAAAAGTGCATTTGATAACCGGCTTCAGAGTTACGATCGGTCGGTTGGTTATGGAAATATCGGCGAAAAACCGAAAATGGCAGATTTCGTTTTTCGCCTGTAAATCCGAAACGAATATTTTGACAGCTGTCAAAATGTGACATTATACGGACACTTTTTTAAGGCGAATAAGATAGCGTATATGACATGTCTCAATCGTCTTTTGTTATCCCGTAATCCGCCTCAACTTTAATTTTTCTTATGGCCACCATATTGGATTTTTGGAAAGACCGGAAAATTTCCAGTCTTGTGATGTCTAACAAGTACCTAAAAGAATTGAGTATCATCGAAATATCACACTCCGTAAAGTTGGGTCTTATTTTTTTCTAAGGATGCCATGACTTATTTGTCAGAAAATAAATCAGATATTTCGGGACAAATTCCAAATTATGTGTTAATTTAATTAACACTAAACCTTTGAACAGCCTACATACAAATTAAAAATGAAAAACGCGACAGAAACATTTTACAAGTTGTAAAATCTAATTATGTTTTTTACCGTTTCGTAACTGGATAAGAAAGCATATTTAAGTTTAATAATAATTAATCTAAAGAAATGTGGAAAGCATTAAAATTTGGTAAGTTCTTACATGAAAAAAGTATACATTTTCCTGCCCACTTAAAAAATTCTAATAAATCTATACCCTACAAAGAACCACCATTACAGTTATTGAATTACTATAGGAGTAATAACCTGCGTGATGATTCATTTAATTATAAAGATGTTAATGATTTAATAACTTATAATATTATCTGTGGAATAAAAACCAACGCTAAATGCTGCAATGCATTAAATATAAAGCTTATCAAACTTTGTTGTCTACACATTATTCCATATATCACGCACATTGTCAATTTTTGTTTGAGTGAAAATGTTTTTCCTTCGGCGTGGAGAAGGGCGGTTGTGCAAGTTGTGCCAAAAAAAAAAAACAAAATCCAGAGGAATTTAGAGACTTTCGTCCTATAAGCATCTTGCAGGTTCTATCGAAAGTGTTTGAAAAGGTGATGGAGATGCAACTAAAAGAATATATTTCGAATTATTCAATTTTATCACCTCTTCCAGTGGGTTTCAGGAAAGGTTTTAGTTGCACACTACAAATAGTTGATGACATTGTTAAATCAACTGATAAAAAATTATACACCTTGTTAATTCTTAAGTGTAAAGGTTAAAGAAAAGGTCCTTTATTTCTAACAAGTCAATTTATTGGCGACCGGTTTCGAGGTTGTTAATTCTTCTTAATTTCAGTCGAGCATTTGATACGATTAATCACAAATTAACAGAGCTGGGACGAATCCTCAAAAAAATTATTCGAATCACGAGATCTGATTTGAATCACGGATCCTATGTCCGAATCCTTTTTTTCGGATCACGAATACGAATCACTGTCAGTGTCATACCATGGTATTATGTATGCTTCCGAATCTAATATCAATATCAACTATGTGTCCATTACGGACTATGACTTGCATAGAAATGGATGATACAAAAAGATGTTGAAAAGAATACACCTTTTTTTTTTTTTTTTCTATAAATATAAAAATATAAACCATAAATAAATTAGAATCTACAAAAAATATATTTTATTTTAATACAAAAACAAAATAATATACAATGAAATAAAAATGTCTTACATAGCACCATATTTTCGAGGTGCGTCGATTATACCTGCAAACAAAAATACGAAGACGAAGGCAGGCAAGTGTTAAATTTTAGGATTTTTATTGCTAATTTGTGATGTCAAAGAAGGCAGCATCAGAGCACGTAGGCAATTTTGAATTGAAACCTATGCCATATTTTTAGGCTATTTTTATGCTGATTTTTTTTTTGCAAAAATCAAGGTGCTCTGCCAGATTCGAACGAAGTTAGTAGATCACCTCCGTTTTTTAAGTTTTTTCCAAAAACAACGATACAATATTTTTAAGCTCTTCAAATTTTTAAAAAATAGAGGCACCTCTGTTCCAACAAAGCACACCCTGTATTTTTTAAAAAACACTATTTTTTCGAAAAGTTTTATATTTTAAGACCCTAAAAGTAGCTTAAACATGTTACATAAGTAGATGTTTCCAAAAAAAAAAATAATAATAAACCGAGATGCTCTGCTAACTTTGTTCCAGCAAAGCACCCTGTATTATTTATAAATAGTAATTTTTTAGTAAAGTTTTGTAATATTTCAGGTGCCTAAAAATACCCTAAAAATGCAGAGTAGTTGTTTTTAGAAAAAAGCTTTAAAAAACCGAGGTGCTCTGCTGGCTTTGTTTGAAGCTAGCAGAGAACCTTGATTTTTATAAAAAAACAAGGAGCATAAAATTTTTGAATAGGGTATGAAAATAGCCTTAAAATAACCTAAAAATATGGCATAGGTTTTAACTCAAAATTATCTAGGTGTTCTACTGCCTTCTTTGACATTAATTTATTTGTAGATTCTTACGTTTATCTTCTAAATATTAACAATCGGTCTTCAGTCTCAGTCTGTTTTAGTTTACACTTCGCGACAAGTCAACGTGTGAGTCGACCATTCGCGCCGGCGTAGTTTGGTCTCTAAAAGGACCCAAGACTAATATTGGTGATTCGAATACGAATCCTTAAGAATTTTCTCGGCAAATCCGGATCACGGACCTTTTTTTCTTAAGTATTCGAATACTGCTCGCGGATCCTAAAAAAGGATTCGAATCCTATGTAATTCGAATCCTCCCCAGCTCTGCAAATTAATAATAAGTATGTTAAAATACATAGGCTTCTCAGAAGGAGCGATATCGCTATTGAGTAATTACTTGCAAAACAGACAACAATATGTAGTTATTGATAATAATTTGTCAGATTATATCTCAATCCATCAATCAAGAAATCCATTAGATAAAACAAATCTAAACGATGTGCTGTCCAAACTACTAAAAACGAATCGTTTGAAACATATGTTAGAAAAAAAAAATACCAACCTATCTCTTGATGACCACTCCCTTTGGAAAGCCACAAAAAAAATTCAAGAAACCAACAGTAGCCAAATCTCCAATTAAAAAAATCGGCGGAACTTGGGCTCGGTCTGATCCAGAAAAATCCAATAGATTCGCAGAATATTTATCATCTGTTTTCTCCGCCCCACAACCTAACGATATCAATGACGATGAAATGAGAGCCTTCCTTAATGCCCCCTGTCAGTTGTCACTACCACTGAAATACTTCTATTCTCACCGAGTGAAGTCCGCAATGAAATCAGACTTCTCAACCCACTCAAAGCTCTCGGATTTGACCTTATAACTGGCGAAATCTTAAAAAATCTCCTAAGAAAAGGTATCGTCATAATAACTATAATTTTCAATAGCCTCCTTAGGCTATGCTATTTTCCAGTGCAATGGAAGTACGCACAAATTATAATGATACCTATTGGCGATTCAAATTAATTTTCGCGCGCCTGTCATTTGTCAACTATAAGTAGGATGTTTGTTTATTTACATGTGTTTGCTTTAGGCGGAATTTGTATTTGTGATTTTTTTAACTGTTTTTAGGTAATATTCTCATTGTAATAGTGTTTTTGAGTTTCATTTAGTGTTAATTTAAGTTTAAGTCTCGTGCTTTGGTCATAAATATACTATTTATCATGTTTCTGACTTAATTTGTTGGAAATATTCACCTATTGGTTGCTAAAAGAACATGTAGAAATATGTATTTACTAAACCCAGGACATGTTTTATTAAGTGGTTTAAAGGACATTACAGGTACCAAACGTTTATTATTGATGAACTTATTTAAAAATCTTACTAGACTTATTCTTATATTATGAAGTGAATTATGTAGTACTTTGTATACATGTAAATGGTAATAAAACCGTCACAAATCATATTACAGTTTAATTCTAAACAAAGTTGTGCAAAATTTCAATATTGTGAATTTGTAGATATCCATTTATCGTAAAAAACAAAATATTACGGCTTGTACTTGAAAAATAATGAATACTTTAGTTTTGATTTTGACATTAACACCATATAGATTGCAATTTGCTGGGGACTTTTTCGCAGATTTCATTTTTAATATAAACACTATCACATACTATAAAAAATAAACAAATTTAAAGCTAAAAAGTAAGAAAAACTCGAATTGTAATTGATACAAATTAAGATGTAAACAATGAACACGAACGCCAATGTTGCCAAATGATGAACTGATTTTAAAACAAAATAAATGAACTGAAATAAAAAAAAATCAATATAATAAATCGGTATTATAAAAAGATCCTTAAATAAATATAGAGTATGATTACATATTACTATACACAAATTTTTATTCTTAAATAAAAAGTCTTATCCACTTCTTCAAGAGCTAAAATCCGACGACGTAGCGAAATTTTGCTACTTCTGGCAACGCTGAACAATATCCTACTTATAGGGACCTTCTACAAATTTCCTCCAGAGGGCGTATCACTTAGCTTGAATCGCGAATACCTGGTAAATCTCCAACTGAAGCTAGTCGTACCGACCAATAAGTCTCCTTCCGACTTTATCAAAAGTCTTTGAAAGGCTTATTCTCAACAGAATAGTAACAACAATACCTCTGATCCCAGATCACTAGTTTGGATTTTGCTCAAGTCACTCAA